CCACCACGCCCGGCTATTAGAATTTCTTTAAGACAGTCTTCCTTACAATATTTTCTCTCAATCACCCGTGTTACATAGAAAAATGCTCATCACTGATGAAACAAATTAGGGAAAGTAAGAAGTGCAGTCTTTAAAGGGCTTCTCTTTTAAGGGTGACATGTCTATGAAAAGATTTGACCATCATTAGTACCTCAATAAAACAAAGCATTACTCAAGGAGAGGCGAAATCGTATTGCAAATATCTGAAATTTAAACCATTATTTTTATAGCAGTCAGTTTTCATAATTTCTCATTCTACTTTCAAATTCCCTGATTGCGCTCAGAAACCCATTTTGCAGGTGAGGTAAGAGAGTCCTCGCTGGTTTCACTGTAAAGAGACTGGAGTATGTCAGTGAGATTATTGCTTTTGACCTTATTAAAGTTTCTTAATTCCTCCTTTTACTTTTTAGTTTCAGTTTCTTCTTCAAGTCTAAAACTGGGAAGTTTTCTGAGATTTGTTTCTCGGTACATTGTAAACATACTGCAGGATAAGCACAGAGTCCTCAAAGTGCTAAAGTACTGGGCGAAGCGAAAGCCGGGCTGATTCAGTTTTGTTCAGGAGAAAGGAAGACTCCGTAACATTGATTATTAATAAAGCATGATTCCACAGCTCAGCCGCAGTCCCAGGAATTAACTGCCTGTCCCAGTGACGTTCCCAGCATCAGTCCGAAGTGTCATCACTGGGCTCTTTCTGCGCAAGAACTGTGTAGCTCCTCTCACTGCACATGATCCACTTGGCAGCACTGCAAAAGCAAAACAAGACATTGTGAGTTGGAGATTAAGGTAGTGCATAAGTAAGTCATCTGTACTCCATCTTTTCCATGGTTATGTAGCTTTTAATCACTTAGTCAAATTACATATAACAGGAGCACCCTGGCATTTTGAGTTCAACTGACTCCTTATGAACATTCTCAAAATTATAAAACATCTACATAAAGTTTTTCTCTTCTAGACCCTTCAGCTATCCATCTACCCTATGATTTCCTCTGTGGAGTCCTCCCAGAATACTTATAATAAAGCTATTACTGAAGTTCCTGTTCAGTATTGGAATTGGAGCTAGGAAGCAAGGACATTTGGAAATAAAACACCAGGAGATTTTGATTTTAAAAATATTGAACACAATAGGATTAAAAACTCAGATGCCCATCTAATAATTAAAAGGATAACTACCTTTTATTCATATATTTGTGACAATATTCATACATACATGAAAAGTAAAATGACCCATTAATCCACCTCCATGTAAGCATTTCTTACTAAGTCACTTTTCATGATACGGCTGTATCATTGATTTAAACATTACCTTACTCTTGGACATTTTGATCACTTATAATTTTTTGTTGGAATAAGCTTCCTTTTCTGTCAGTTTTTACAATATTCCTGATTACTTTCTTACTATAACTTTTTAAAAGGAGTCACTGGATCTGGCACTATTCAGTTTTGAAAAGAAAGCTTCTAGCACATCCTCACAACTTGCTTTATAGTAGAACTGAATAATGCTACTACTAACAGCTTAGGAGATACACCACATCAACATGTGATCACCAGCACAGCATGGAGTTATAATTTTGCTAATTCAGTAAGTCAATGGTCTCTTTTTAAAAAGCCACCTAGTACCAGGGGTGGTGGTGCATGCCTAATAATCACAGCACTCAGGAGGCTGAGGCAGGAGGATCACTTCAAGTTTGAGGCCAACCTGATCTACCTAGTGAGTATAAGGCTAGCCTGAACTGCATAGTAAGACCGTGTCTCAAAAAAAAGAAAACAAACCCCAAATAAAAAGACTCCTAGAAAAAATTACTTTATGTCAAAATTAGAGGAACTGAAAATACTATTGTACACTGTACCTTACACGGACACAGATCTAGGTACTGTATGAGAATTCAATTGGGGCAGCATCTATCGAGGGCCTGCTGTGAATAAGAGGTGGGCCAGACTTTATGGAGTCCGCCAGCTCCTGCGGGTACTCTTCTCCTCCCCTCACAGTCCTCCAAGTGCTGAGGAGTGGGGAGTGATCAGCTTTAGGGACCTTCTCCTTCCTTCCCACCACCATTCCACGCCCCCGGCTACGTGAACGGGACAAAGTTCAGCAGAAACAAGTCGATGGGCTCTGAGCTCACCACTTTGGCTCCACAAATGTAATTATTTGGTGCATTCTATCTGCTTTGGTCATTTATCTAAGGATCATATTAAAGTAAATCTTATTAGAGCAACCTTTGGTCATCAGGAGATGTGACACTCAGGGAAATCAATCATTTTTATCTCTAAGATTAAAAAATTAATCAGTTTTTATATTTGAACACACATGGTGACACATGCCTATAACCTTACTACTCTGGGAGGCTGAAGCAGGAAGACTGCCGGATTGAGCGCAGCCTGGCAGCTGAGACAGGCTCAAAATAAAAAATAAAGGGCAGGGGGTGTTCCAGTTCAATCTCCCATAGTACAAAACAACACGAAAACAGAGGGTAACTTCTTAGGGTATCTAACCCAATCCTTCTTTCTCTTAGTTTGGTTAGCCATGCCACCACCTCTTCCTTTGTACGTCTCCAGAATTACTGACCAATGTTTTCATGTGCAAAAATCCTGGAGAAAAGCAGCCAGAGGCAAAATCCCAACAGATCATGGTAATTTTCCTGGTGCCGTTGTGGGGTTCACTGAATCTGGCCGCCTTTTGAAAAAAATTATTAGAAATAATTACATACCATAGATTGATCACCGGAATGAGTAGTATACCAGCAGCCAGCAAAAAAACGAAGCCAGGATACCAAGCAACAGTGGCTGAATAAATTCCATTAAAAGCGGAAACGGCAATGACTCCACCGAGTGTTTCTAGGAATGCAATACATGCAAACAGGGTACCTGTTCGGATTAGAGGTGTGAAGAGGGAAAAAAAAGGAAAGACTGAATTACAAAACAAGAAACAAAACCTAACAGAGAAAATTTGTCATTCATTGACAAGAGCAAACATGGGGACACTGCTTGGTGAAGGAAAACTGTTCTATCAAAATCCTGGAAAAGTCAGCAACCCATTTTACAGATGGAGAGCCTGAGGCAAAGAAATCTCCTTTGACTTGATGCCAGAGATGTTGAAAACTGAAAGAAACTGCGTTCCAGTGTCCCTTGGTCAAAGCTAAAAAAGTGCTAGCAGCTGACCTGATTGGATCTGAAGTGTCTTCTCCCTTCCACAGCTTAAGGCTAAGCCATACGTAGCCCTGCTGTGCAGGGTGCCATCTCTCACTCTGTGTCCCTGTGTTCATCTGTGACACTGTGACAGGAGGCTCCCTCAGCTCCTTCACAAAGCCAAAGAAGTGCTTTCCCTCTGCTTCTCAGCTGTGGCAAGCATGACAGCTGCAGGCAGAGATAAGATCCTTATCACGCATTCTACAACCTGAGTTTCATTCATCCCGCTGAAGCGACCCAAAAATGTAGTCACCAGTAGACTTCTGCATCTGTCATAATTACCCTGAGGCTCCAGTGAAAGTTTATGCCTCAGTGTGATGTTGTCAAACACCTCTTTAAAATGTAGTTTCCTACCTTACCTACCTCTCCTTTCGGGGGCCTTGCCCAGCTGAGAAGAGTGGGGACCCTGTGGAAGCACCCTTGCTCTCTGTACACAAGTTAGGCAAAAGGCAAGCCACTCGGTATTCGGCATTGTTCAGGAGCGCAAAATGATTGTAGGTGCAGTCAAAGCTTACGAGAGAGAAATCGACCTCATTTGCCCAATTTTTTTAGCTGCACCTAGAATCCAGAACCACACTGATGAAAGAGTTAAACCCCCAGGGACAAGCTGGATGTCTTGCTGTACCTCTCTTCCTCTGTCATAGTTTGCATGACTAAATATAAAATTTTGTGACCATTTTCAGCTGGACCAATGTGACTTCCTCAGTCTCGGGTCTCAGGTGGTTTCTGCCTTCCGCAAACTCTATCATCAGATGATCGTGCTTGTCCCCTATTTTTGCCAAATTTACTTTTCTGTGAACAACTGCAGTCTATTTTTGGACAATGCAAATCATGTAAGTAATTGAATTGCTTGAATGGATAAGAACAAGAGGTGAAGCTTAAGGATTGTTTTCACAGCTGGATCACACTTCTCAGGCCTATACTCTAGTTTCCCTAAGGGTCTCAGCCTGCAGACCGTGCACTGATTTTTTTCCATTAAAATGTTTCCATTCAGTTACACGGTATATATCTTCATGCACTGCCTCAAATTCCTCCTTGAATGATAGGACACGCATTCATAAACATACATCCCTGCAAAATATCCTATGGTCTTTTGACTAAAATGAAAGTTCTGTCAACACGAAGTACACATCTACCTTGACTGCTGTTATGTCTCCAGGGCCCAGCTCTCCTGGTACATGATAGACATTTAATAAACATTTGTCAAATAAATGAGTAAAAAGTTAACTCAGGATCCCACTTATCGATCATTAAGAAGTATACAGACTGTGCCCATGACTTACGATAATACATCAAGTCAGTTTCATTTAAAGAAAGTTCTTCTAGTTGCCTACCACAATATGACTTTCTCTTATTTGTGACCCTTGCTGCAGCCAGGTGTGGGCTGTGCTATGAAGGACAACCTGCAGGGTGCCGGGGGTATTATGTAAGGGCTTGAATCCATTCTTGATGGCAAACAGGTGAGACAGGTCATCTGTCAGACAGTGTACTATTATGAAGTAGCTTTAGCTTGTTGCTAAACTGAGCAGTTCAACTTGTTCAGTAGGTTTAGAGACAAGCAAGTGAATTTATTTTCTAAAAGTTAAAAAAATCCAACAGAATTTAGAGATCAGATCTGTTTTATGGGGTTCTTGTTTAGAGTTGCAAGGAGTTCATGAGTTCATGAGCAAGGCAAAATAGCTAGTCCAGATGGCTTCGCCTTTGAGTTTCACTTCTGTATAGGGCACAGAGATTTTAAAATCATTACCAGAGTTCCATTTTCTTACTTTTCTTTTGTATGTGGGGAGCAGGGGGTAGAGTGCACTAAGCCACATCCCTAGACCCCTAGCCTCTCATCTTTCTTGGGATAATAAAGATAGTAAAAGATAGCTCTAAACCTCTGCAGTATTTCCCCTCTCCTCTGATTATGATAAAATACATAACATTTTTTTTTTTTTACAAAAATGAGCATTTCTAAAAAATAATGAAGGTAGGAATACATTTAATCATGGAAACTTTGACACCTTCCAATGTACTTAGTTTATAGTTAAGGACAAAGTAATTAGGTTATTTAGAATAATGGAGTCACCGTTCACAAAGTTACTGTAATTCAGAGTAAGAAATGCCAAAATATATACAGTAAATATTTTTAAATGTTAACATATTTAATAGTATGGGATATCTTTTTGTCTCCAGGCCTCACGATGCAGTTCAGGACGGCCATTAGCTCATTTTGTAGCCCAGGCTGGCCTTGAATTCACAGCGATCCTCCTGCCTCAACCTTCCAAGTACTAGGATTACAGGCATGCGCCACCACGTCCGGCTGCCTAGGGAATGATTTTTGAGGCCTTTCAAAGTAAACCAGATATAAACTATACATCTTGAGAAGTCTACTTTAATTTCTAAGTCAAAGCAGGTAACTGTGTCCTAACAACTATATTGAGATGTAATTCACATAACACAAAGCTCACTCCTTCAAAGTGCAGTAGCTTTTAGTACATTCGAGTTGGGCAATCATCACCACCCTGTAATAGTGTCATCACCTCAAAAGAAACTCCATTAGCAGTTGTTCTTCCACTACCCTGCCCTGGAAGGTCCTAATCTAATTTCTATCTCTACAGATTTGCCTACTATGGACATTTCGTATCAGTGGAATCAAATTCCTAGGATAATACGTGGCATTTTGTGGCTAGCTTCTTTCATTTAGTATACCAGTTTCATGGTTCGTTCTTGTCACAGTGTGTGTCAGAAAACCATTTCTTTGTACTGGAGATTAAGAGACCACTGGCACGTACACCACATCTTGTTTATCCATCCACGGCATCGTTTCCGCCACTTGCCTATTGTGATATCGCTGCTATGAACGCTGGCATTTAAGATTTCATGTGGACGTATGTTTTCATTTCTCTAGCTCATAAGGTAATTTAACTTTCTGAGGGGCTGCCAAACTCATTTGCCAATTGGATGCATCATTTCACATTCCAGCTACAAGCGTGTGAGGGTTCTAATATATCCATATCCTCACCAGCACTCGTTACAGACTATTTTCCCATCTTTGTGGTCTTCATCGTGGTTTTGACTAGCATTTTCCTAATGTCTAGTGGTACTTAGGATTTCTCATGTGTGTATTGGCCATTTATTTCTTTGGTTTTTTGTTTTTGTTTTTTTTTGGTTTTGGTTTTTCTCCGGCACCGGGAACCAAACTCACGACCTTGCGCTTGCCAGGCAGGCGCTTTGCCGCTGAGCTAAATCCCCAGCCCCCGACCATTTATTTGTATATCTTCTGAGAAACATCTTTTCCAATCCTTTGCTCCTTTTTTAAACTGAGCTATCATTGTGTTACTGATTTTTAAAGCATTCTTCTATATGTTGCATACACATTTCTTCTCAGACCTCTGATTTGCAAATATTTTCTCCAATTCTGTGTGCTTCTTTTATGGTGTTCTTTGAAACACAAAAAAATGTCAAAGAATGAACTTACTAGGGTTTTTTTTTTCAGTGCTGGGTACTGACCCCAAAGTCTAGCATATGCTAGGCAAATACTCTACTACCAAACTACACATCCAGCCCTCAAAGGATGAACTTGGAATGAAGTCTTCAAATGAAATTTTTCTATCTTATCTTTTATTGTGCTATTGATGTCACAGCTAAAAAAACTGTTGCATCCTCCAAGGAAGTGGGTACAATGTCACATAGCATAGTTATAATGTTTATATTGCTAAATATAAGCAATATACTCTGTAACAGTTGTGTGCATATATAGCTATGGCTTATGCATGAACTATGAACCAAGAAATATATTTTTAAATGTATGAAATTACTGCTGAACTATGCACTTGGAAGGAGTGAGTTTTGTGTTATGTGAATTACATCTCAGTATAGTTGTTAGGACACAGTTACCTGCTTTGACTTAGAAATTAAAGTGGACTTCTCAGTTACCTCCAGGGTAATCATTACCACATACTCTGTAACAGTTGTGTGCATATATAGCTATGGCTTATGCATGAAAAAGAACCAAGAAGTATATATATTTTTGTTGTGGCTGTTTTTTGTTTTTCTTCTGGTACCAGGAATCGAACTCATGACCTTGCGCTTGCCAGGCAGGCGCTGTGCCGCTGAGCTAAATCCCCAGCCCCAAGAAATATATTTTTAAATGAAATTACTGTTTTCCTCAGTGTTGACTAATCTGGCATAAATGCAAAAGTATACTTATGAGTTATGTATAAAAAATCCAATAAAAATACCTGTGCCGGGCTAAGATAGGAGACAGAAAAAAGCACCTAACAGCATTCACATGACTCAGAAAGGGACGAGGACATCACCATATACTAATCTCTAAGTAGTAGTTCTAACTAGAAATTTAATTCTGCCTTCTTTCTGTGCTGGTTATTCTCTGTTCGTCCCAACTGTCTGATCTCCTAAGCCAGCATCTGTGCCTGGGAGGCTTACCTCCTGGATTATAGGGCTTGGACTTCCCCGCCGGCCCAACTTCCTGCAACACTTGGTCAAAGGCACGGAGGACAGTATTTCTCCTCTGTGTCCCAATCTGAGCACCTTGCTGGTCTTCACACTGTCCACCCCCTATCCCACCCTTCATAGAAGTCTCTTGATTTGCGTCAGCTGAGTGGGACCCTGTTTCCTGATACGACTCGGATTTAGGCCCAGTGGTAACATTGGTGGGGCCCAGACTAGGATGACTGGAGTCCTGCACATGTCTCCGAAGTGCAGCTGGCCCTCTGTATCCCTGGGTTCCTCCTCTGAAGATTCAGCCAATCACGGATAAAAAATCATAGGCCTCTGATGGCTTCATCTGTCCTGAACATGTACAGACTTCTTTCCTGTCATTATTCCCTAAATCACAGCACAACTGTTTTCATGGTGTTTACATTGTTTGATGTGTTGTAAGTCATCCAGCGATGACTTACAGTCTACAGGAGGATCAGTTCAGGTTCTATGCCTATGCCACACCTTTTTATTTAAGGGACTTGAGCATCTGTGGATTTTGGTTGTGAGTAAGCGGTCCTGGAGCTAATCCTCCTCAGATACTGAGGGGCGAAACTATATTTAATAAAAGTTACAAATCTGGTTAATGAACCATTAATTTTAAAATATGTTGTCTCTCTCCACTGTGGGAAATAGACCTCTGTAATAATCCGGAAGACCAGACACAAATGTAGACTTCTTAGACTTGTAAGAGTTCTATATAGAAGCTGGATATGGTAGCACACAACGATAATCCCAGCATGCAAGAGACTGAAGCAGGAAGACCATGAGTTCAAGGCCAGCCTGGGCTACATAGTGAGTTCAAGGCCAGCCAAGACTACACAGTGAGAGTGTCTGACAAAAAAAAGAAAAACAAAAGAAAGAATTTCCTGTAGGGACATGACAGCACTGGGAGAGCTGAACGGTAGCCCTCTGACGGCATTGGGAGAGCTGAACGCTAGCTCTCTGCAGCCCGCGTGCATCCCCATTCTGTTCTAGGCCTTGTTCCAGTTCGCTCAGAAAGAGTTAGCTACACATGGGTGCAGATGCCCCGGCCCTGCAATTCCAAGGTCAGGCTCACCTGCTCATGAAGGGCACGCTCCCTCCAAGCAGTTCTTCCCTATGGGTCAGAGGTAGCACATGAGGGCATAGTTCACAGACGAGGATCGCATGAGCAGTCACTGGACACGAACCCAGAGCCATCTGGGCTGGAAACCACAGATATCCAGGTAGCCAGTGCTGGGCAGAAGGGGAGAGCGTTATAGGCTCCCAGGGGATGCGTCCACTTGGCCCTCAGGCCTCTCTCCTCTTCTCTAGGGGTGGGACACAGCCAGAGAAAAGGCCAGAGCTGTCCTCTAAAGCAAGGGCCCTGGGCATGGGCTCCTTTGCCTGAGTGTAAGCCTCTTTCCAACACAGCTCACCGCTCAATCACAAAAGAGACTGGGGCAGGAGGCTGTAGAATATTCTGAAGCATCAAACGTAACATAGGTCTGAGTTGGAACACTGACCACTATATTCCTTCAACAGATTAAACTCACCTTGTTCAGTAGAAGGAATCACTCCCGACAACATGGATCGTAAAACAGACAGCGGTGCAATAAGAAAAAAACACGGCACTCTGACTATAAGAGAAATGATTGAATAAATAGTCAGATAAGGCTAGTTTGGAGCCCTGACGCCAAATTTTACATGAAAGGTACTCTGTCTAAACATTTCATTTCCTATGAGCATCCTAACTTACTGCCTCTAAAGATCAAATTAATTGTAGAGTTCTGCTCAATAACTTAAATAGACTATCGATATTTGAAAGTTACTCTGGAATTCTTATTTCAGGACTAATAACAAATGTTTGTGGAAGTTTTAGGTCCAGATCCCTCCCAGCTGAAACTGGCTTGCCTATTGGTTTTTGTTTTGTTTTTTCTGGTACCAGGAATCAAATTCGTGACCTTGCACTTGCCAGGCAGGTGCTGTGCCGCTGAGCTAAATCCCCAGCCCTTGCCTATTGTTTTGATAACCAAGTAACCTCTTATTTAGCAAACTGTGACTGCTAATTAGGTTTTCTTGACTCTGTTCTTGCTTTTCCGGGCTTGAAATTCTCAGTGCTGCCTTCCTTTACTGTACGGATTTGTTTATTGGTAAACTGGCTCTTTATCCTCTTGCTGTTCATCTTGTGGCTGGATAACCTCATGAGCACAAAATCGCCTCTCTGTTCATAAGTTATGATTGTTCATGGGGCATTTATAATTATGTCATAAAATAAAGATCAATTACACTTGCAGGTCATTTCAAGGTTTTCAAAGTATTTTCACATACGCTACTTCAATGGCCTTCGCAGTTCTAGGTAGAAGGGAAAACCCACATTTATTGAGTAGAGGGACGTGTGCTCAGTGCTTTCATAGCTAATATTCCTTACAACCCTCTGAATGAGGAGTTCCCATGCATATTTTACACATGAGAAAATGAGGGTTCAGAGGAATCTAGTAATTGGCCCAAGGTTACTCAGTGCTTTTGGTGGGAATTAAGGCTCATTGTTTGGTCAGAAGCTTCCTTGTGGAGTAGCAGGTGTTGATAGCTCCATCACAGAAAGGGCTAAACCGAACCTTTCCCCAAGTCCCACTTGACAGCTTCACTGCCCCTTCCGATGCAAGATCTCACTCAATCCGTACAGAAATAGTTATGAGGTACACAGGCAAGGAAGTAGTCCAATTTGCCAGACAGCAGTTCATTAGAAGTCAAGTCATGCAACGACTGCTTTCCTGAAGGATCTAGTTGCAAAACCTGCCTTAAAGAGCTTTCTTAGCTGGGTGTGGTGGCACATGCCTATAATCCCAGCACTCTGGAGGCTGAGGCAGGAGGATCATTGTGATTTGGGGGCCAGCCTAAATTACCTTGTGAGACTCTGTCTAAAAAAGATTTAAAAAAAGAACTTTCTTCCGGAGCAGGGTCTGAGAGCCACTTTTCTTGGTGTTAACAGAGACAAGACCATCACAGCAAACCCAGAGCACCTCCTGCCTCCTTCATTTCTTTGAAAGAAGCATTTTCAATGTCTGATTTTATGTAAAATTCATAACGGTATTTTCTACTCAGGTTGTGACCTGTTATTGTATGGTGAAATTACTTGAGGGTTTTTTTTTTGTTTTGTTTTTTTCTCTGGTACCGGGAACCGAACTCACAACCTTGTGCTTGCCAGGCAGGCGCTTTTGCCGCTGAGCTAAATCCCCAGCCCTGTATGGTGGAATTACTTTGGTGAAGCACATCCCAAATATTTTTGAAACATAATATGATAAATGTCAGGAGACACTGAAAATAAAAAAGAATTTTCTTCCTGAATGTATTCAATGAGTACGAATTTTTGTTATAAATCTTTTGAGTATACTTTATGTAATTGTCCTAAATATTTCTTGAAAGTAGCCTACGAAATAGCGTTATGTGAAATGTTCATCTTGGTAGTAGTTATACTGAAGGACTGATTCATATGAAGAAAGTTCCTCAAAACAGTTTTTTTTGACAGATGTGGAAAATTGTGGTTTTTCAGTAAATTTGTTTTCTTTTTCAGCAAATCTGGCTTCTAGCTCCTGGCTTTTTACCTTTAATCAACTAGAATAGGTTACATACAGAGTTTTGCATTTAACGTTCTCTCCCAAAAGACTGAATGCATTTTATATAAAAGCAAAGACATAGGTCTGAGGCTCCAGTGATAACTCACCTAAAAACATCATCAGCGTGGTTTTGGCAAAAGCAGTCATAATTATTCCTGCCATGGTGGTAAAAATTCCAATGAAGGCGATATAAATATCTTCCATGCAATAAGAAAAAAGCCATATTCCAAGGAAACTACCTAAAAATGAGACACTATCCAAAGCTGATCCATACCCTACAAGAACTTCATTCCAGCAGAGCGGGGAACCCAACTCATAAAGGATAAAAACTGGGAATATGCCCATTATCACAAAAAAATAAATGACCACTGTGAAAAGGAACAGGCAGAGCAAAGGCTGCTGCTTACCAGAGGCATTTTTAAAAAGCATGTAAGTTCTCTGGAACTGGGTCTTAAAGCTTTCAATACATGACATAGGAACACTCTGAGATGAAGACTCGTTCACTGACTCGCCAAGGAAAAATACAATAAAGGCCAAGTTAATAGCAAGAGCTATAGAAGTAATTAAAAAAGACCACACAAAACCTAGTTGTCTGATAAAATAGCCAGACGACAACGCTGTCAGTCCAGAAACAATTCCCACCATGCAGTCAATGATAGCTATTCGAATTGTTTTTTGTTTGCTTTCTTTACACTGATCAACTACATAGGCAAAACAAGCTGACCAAAATGTGTGGAAGCTCCCAAAAAAAGCTCCAATAAAGGTCGAGGCAATCAAAAGCGGCAATGGAAAAGCAAAATAGCAAAGCAAACACAGCCAAACATTAGTGACAAGAACGCCAGTGGAAGACAAAATCAGAGGGAATTTTCGTCCACGCTGATCACTACTAGACAGAAGTATGAATGTAGACACCAGGCCAGGAATTAAACCACTCATCTCCATCTGCAGACTAAAAAGAGACACTTTTTTCTGAACTTCCTGCAAAGAAATAAAAAGAAGACAATGGGTTTACAGAGGTTATATAATATGCATAACATTATCACAATGCATACTTTTCTTGACATTGCTAGTAGGTCATGGGTGGGAAACCTCTGGTGCATGAGAGGACCAGATATGGCTTACATCTTCATCCACTATGCAAAGCAGGTGTCTAACGGTGGCATAACTGTACACAGGCATGGCATGCAAGCGCATGCAGTGAAGACTTGAGTGCCGGGGCCTGGCCATGGATGCATTTCAAACACGGGAGAATTAGAGTTGTATATCTTTTTTTTTTTTTCTGGTACCACGAATTGAACTCACGACCTTGCACTTGCCAGGCAGGCGCTGTGCCACTGAGCTAAATCCCCAGCCCTTATTGTTGTATATCATAGAGAGGTAGATAGAGATTTTTAAAATGCTGTCCATACAGCAGGATGGACATAACTTCTGAAGACCAAAACAATAAGGACAGACAAGTACACACACACACGGACAGGGAGCTGTGACAAACTGCGGTATCGGTCATTTGATGGAAATGATTTTGGGTGATTTATAAACATCTTCTGCTTGCCACTTCTTCTTTTCCAAATTTATTTTTAATTTTTTCTATTATTTATTTATAGAAGGCTGTAGTACATGATGTTTACTTTCCTTGTGAGGAACTGCTACATACACTTACCTTTCTTCCATCTCTTGATCCCCTTCCCCTATAAGAAAGATCTATCTCTCTACTTCCATTATCCAACTTCCAGTTTGCTCTTTATTTATACTTGGGTTTCTCATATAAAAGTAACTATGTGATATTCAAGTTTATATGTCTAATTTATTTCACTTAACATTATGGTCTCAAAGCATATGCGTTTTTCTACAAACGACTCAAGTTTATCTTTTTTATGGCAGAGTAGTATTCCACTGTGTGTAAATACATTTTCTTTATCCATTCATCTGTTGATAGACATATTCCAAGATTTAGCTATTATGAACTGTATTGCTATAAACATGCGTATGCATGGATCACTGTAATATGATGATTCGAACTCTTTCAGGAAGATACCTAGAAGGGGAATAGCTAGGTCAAATGGAATTTCTAGTTCTAGCTTTTTTGAGGAATCTCCACATTGACTTCCATAAGAGTTGTACTAATTTACATTCTCCCTAACTGTGTAGAATGTGGATCCTTTTTCCCCACAGCCTTGCCAGTATTTTTCATTATTCGACTTCTTGATGCTAGCCATTCTCTCTGGGGTAAGATGGAATCTTAGTCTTGTTTTAAATTGTATTTCTCTAATGGCCAGCGATATTGAGCATGTCTTTATGTAAGTTTATTGGTCGTTTTGCACTTCTTCTTTGAGGTGTCTATTTTAGTGATGGCGAACCTTTTAGAGATTTGCCTAAACTGCAACCCAAAACTCATTTATCGCAGAGTGCCAACACTGCAATTAAACCTGAACACTGCGGTTTTAGCTTAGAAAAAAAAAAAAAAATTCAAACATAAACATCTTTTGTTTTAAAAGAGAAACAGCATTCATGCCATTGGTTCACCTCCACTGGTTTATTCATTTCACTTGCCCAACCTTTTGATTGGGTCTTTTACTTTGGGGATCTAACTTTTCCATTTTTATAATGAGAAATGCTATGTGCATTAAAAACAAAGTTTTTTTTTCCCATGCACTACATAGAAAGCAGCCTAAACTATTGATGAACTATAAAAATATCTACAGCTTTCGCCTCTGCAACTTGACCCGCAGGAAGGCAGGAACTTTCTTAGCTTCACCATGCTTTTAGCAGCCCTGAGAGCAGTGCTAGGAACAGTGCTTGCATGAAGAGTCCAGTAAAACAAGTCCTTGGTCACTTGCTAGCTGTGCAGGATCCTGACCACATTATTTATCTCAACAGCCTCTCCATCTGGTAGGTGGGGTAACAACAGTCCTTACTTCATAGGCCAGTAGAGGGTCAAATTGAGAAGAAATAGAAGGTGTTTGGCACAAGGCCCTGGCAGAGTCAGCACTCAAGCAGTTTTGTGTGTTCCATTTTTACTAGGTTAGACTTGCTAGGCAGATACTTGTATCTCCTGCAGATATAGTAGCCATCAGGTAAATACTTATTGAATGAATAAATAAAAAGGTACTTTTTTAAAGTTGAAAAATGTTCTTTTAATCATCTTCTCAACCAGATCTTCCAGGGTAGGGTCCTTTCTCTTATTTCTAACCCTTTGCCCTAGTCCTGTCTACCTCTATTGATTAACCTTCCTAATCCAATCTTGTATACAGACTATCTCATCTCTATGTTTTAAACTACAGATTTTAACAAGGACAAATTCAAAAGCTTGTTTCCATCATAAATCATAGTTGAGAGATAAGAAACAAATGGTGCATATGTCTTTCTTTTCTTTTCAACTGGGGATTGAACCCAGGGCCTTCACACTGAGCCATATCCACATCCGCAGCTTTTTAACATTTTTGACACAGGATTTTGCTAATTCACTAAACTGCCCAGGCTAGACTTGAACTTGTGATTTTACTGCTTCGGCCTCCCAGAGTGCTGGGGTGTTCCAGGTGTGCACCCAGTTGCCCGGCCACGTGTGTATTTCAAACACTGGAGAATTATAGTTACATATCATAGAGAGGTAGATAGAGACTTTTTTTTTTTTGGACTGGGAATCAAACTCACAAACTTGCGCTTGCTAGGCAAGCGCTTGTGCCGCTAAGCTATATCCCCGGCCCGATAAAGATTTTTCAAATGCTGTTTTCTATCCAAGATCAGACGGGACAACAATGTACTGAGACAGGGATAAAGGAAAGAGGTCAAAATTTCATAGGGTGAAATGCGTATATTAACTTCAGCTGAGTAGAAAATATCCCAGACCATTTTTCATAAGTAGGAGACTGCTAGTACCAGGGGAGTGTGTTAGTTATTAAAAGGTTTATAAGCAAATTTCAGAGAAAATAACTCCACAATCTGTTCATTGGGTTTCCCCTCTCAGATAGCAGAGTCCCTATCTTAAAAGTTGTGTGAAAAGAGCAGACTCCCATGGCCAGTTTACTCCTTCAAAACTAATCATTCAACAGGGGAAGGAAGAAGTAACGTTACAAAGCAGCTTCCCTTGCAAAAGTCAACAAACAAGCCCAGAAGTCCTCACCCGTTTCCTCCCTAGCAAGAGCTTCCCTGCCACAACCTTGCCATTTGGTGAAAGGTCTTTTGAGATTAATGTCATTGTCCAAGAGAAGTTTTCTTTGAAGATCTATACAGTAGGTGAAGTCAATAGTAAGTTATTCATGAGTACATATACATGTATTAATGAAAAGTGGGTTAAAAGTAAGACTTTCATTATCATATAGTTTTTTTTTTTTTTAATCTTTTTGAGACAAGGTCTTGCTATATATTCAGGCCAGACTGAGCTCACTTTGTAGCCCAGGCTGGCCTCGAACTCGCAATGATCCTCCTGCCTCAGCCTCCCGAGTGCTGGGATCACAGGCATGTGCCACCACGCCCAGCAATCATATAAACTTTCAAAATGTCAAAAAATAAGCGAGAGAGCTCAGTTTATGACTGTCTATACCTTGAAATTAATAATATTCTACATTGTAATACATAGATATGTGTGCATCTGTTCTGTAGGAAGGATATATAAACACAGTGAGAACTCTATTATCATAACAGGCACTGTCGCCTCACACACAATTGGTCCTCTGAGAAGGATAAGAAAAAGAACTGAGCTGAAGAAACCACCTATTTAATTATTTATTTTGCTAGGGACTCGCCTGAGGCTGTAACGGCTCTTATTTTTATGGTTACAAGAACTGTCTGCCTGCTGAGCACGGTGCCACACACCTGTAATCCCTGCACTCTGGGAGGCAGACAGAGGAGGACTGCGAGTACGAACCTGGCCTGGGCAATTTAGCAAGAATTTTTCTCAAAATAAAAAATAAAATAGGTCTGGGGATGTAGTGCAAAGGCCCTGGGTCCAGTTCCTGGTACTGAGAAAACAAACCAACAGACCACAAGCCCCTCCAAAGATCTGACTCACGGTGGAGAACACCTGGCCAGAGCCCTCCAGCAGGGCTAAGCTGAGGGGGCAGGAAACACTGCTCTTGGACAAGGAAGAGGATGTTTCTCAGAGGCGCGGAGCAGGGACAGGACGGGGAAAGAAGCCAGAAGGAAGTGCTGAGGGCGATGGTAGTTTCTCTGCAAAAATACCCTTTTTTAAGTGGTGAGTGGCCACCCCGCCATGTCCCAGCCCTGGGTGGGGTGGTTTCTAGATCCTCACTCTGAGAAAAAGCCTCAGAGTCTAAGAAACCCAACTTCAAGGGGAGGGATCTAGAGTAGTAGTGTGTTCTCTTAAATATGAATCGAATTTAAAACAATAATGAAAAACAGTCCATCAGTTTGAAAACTGGGTCCAAATCTTTGGAATGAACTACTGCTCTGGGCAGTGGAGGGCTCCCCGTGGCTGGCCCGGGCCACGTGGGGTGGTGGGCACAATACCCATCACCTGCTTGGTCAGAGGCTAAGGTGCCTGGACCAGGTCTGTCTCCCTGTGGCCCTGGAGGACGGGGGCAGCAGGCATTTCAGTCCTCTCCACCCAGGTCCCGCAAAAGGGCCCAAGGGAGACAGGCCTGGAGTGGGGCGGGAGGAAAGGAGAGCACCCAACAGAGCTGATGGTTCGCGGAGCCTCCCTGTTCCCAGAAGGTCATGTGACGAGACATTCTTGAAGGGAGATAAACCCCTCAGTGAGGCCTAGGTCCTTCTCTCTTTATGACCTTATTTGAGGCCAGCGCCTGTCTACGGCAGGATTAATCAGTTCCAAGAAAGCTTCTCCTACAGAAATGAGAAAATAGGTCCATCAAGGGCTTTGCTGAGCAGCTGGGCCTCATCCCAGCCAGCCTTCACCTGACATTCCGGGGACATCTTCCCTCTAGAGTCCTCAGCCTTTCCTTCCTTCAGATTCTCTCTCCCCAGAGAGACTGTCAGAGCCAGGGAGGTGACTTAGTTCCCTCCTTCATCTCTTCTCATCTGAGACGGGCAGGGCCGCACCATTCCTTTGCTGTCACAAACTACCCCCAAGAGGAAGAGTTCTGAGTTCATAAGCTGGTTTGTTTTGGAGGCTTGAGGAAAAGCAGTTACAAATCTGAATGCCACCACTTTTGCACCTGGACACGGACAGCCTTCTGTAAACAAAGCATCGGAGCCCGAAGCTGCTGAGGGCGCAGGAACGCCTTATGTATCAAGTTCAACACTTTCTGTGTTCTGAGAGCAAAAGTGAGTTCTTTCCACCCCAGATGTTCTCACAGAGCTCAACATGTGGGAGTTAAAGCTGATAATGCCACCCAAGGACAAGTGATAAGCCCACCCCACCCGCTGACAGGCCTTAGCCCACAGTCATCAGTGACGGGCCACTTTCTGGAGTTTCTGAAAGCTGGGACATGCAGATGCAGGCGAAGGATCAGAGAGGAAGGGAGAGGGGGGAGGGACACATACCAGGCTTCACCCACCCATGTCCACTAGGTAGCTGGTTCCAGCAGGAACTGTTTTAGGGCGGAGGAAGAATGAGATGAGAGTGTGCCGGGATTTTCCAGGAGAAAGGAGTAGAGCTAGGGTCACACAGGAGAAGAGCGGGTGAAGGAGAGGCAGGTTACAGCCGTGGGGAAACTTCGAATGAGATGAGAACTGAGAGAAGGCCATTTCGTTTGGCATTTGAGAGTCCAGTGATCACCCTCGAAAGGCCAATGTATACTGCGCCGTCCACCTTCATTTAAAACTTGTTTCACGTTCCCTTTTCATTATGTTTTAGGGATATTTTAATTTCTTACCTTCTGGAACGCAAAAAGCGTGCTGCTTTCATTTTGTCCGCACTGAGAAATATTGCTATCGAATGCAAAACTGTAGTTGCCTGTGTCTTCCCAGATTCTCCTGTACAGGTACTGTGTGGTCAGTGGGGTGGTCAAACTCATAGCAAATGCGTTCAGGAAAATGGCAGGCTCGACAAAGAAAATTTTCATGTTGCTTGAGGAGGTAGCTTTTCTCTACGAAGCAAGAAAAAGAGAGAAGTGACCTGTGGCATTCCTACCCCAGTGGCTAGATGTTTCAAAAATGCGGAAGGCAGAACAATTTTGTGGACTGAACAAAAACCAGCAAAACCAAGAACAGAAAGGCAGTGACCACTTCCTAGGAAGATAGTTTTACTTTGGATCTCGTACTGTAAACCCGGGACTTTCAACACTTTTCATTTTAAAAGTTGGAACTCTTAGGACTCGAGCCACCTGTAGGACGATGCTTTGCAGTAATCTTACTAAGCGATCTCCCCTCCAGCCGTCACTCCGAGGTCTCACCTCATACATTCCCAGCTGGTTTTGGAAGGTAAACAATGAGGTTCCTTTCGGGTCACAACAGTTATGCAACTGTTGGTGTTATTCTGCTGCGTGTTAACAGAGAGGGAGGAGCCTTTTAAAAGAGAAACTCCCAATCGGAAGGTGTTTTTGTTCTGTTCTGTTCTTGAACTCACCCACGATTACAGGCTTGCTGCCCGGCGAGGCGCGAGGCGCAGGGCCGACCCTTTGCGAGCAGGCTCCTGGGATGCTCCTGCTGGCGGACAGCTCCCCGGGCTGGGGCAGCGAGGGCGCGGGGTGGGAACCGACTTCTTCCTGCAGTCCCACCCCAGACCGTCCGCTGGCGGGGAGACGCAACGCCTGCTGGAAGGCAAACCAAGGCAAGCGCCCTTCCTGCGTCCGGCGTGACACCTGCCACTTCGCCGCGCCGGCCGCGGCCCTCGGCTGCCCCGCGATGACGGTCTCAGCCTGCTCCGAGCTCGCCCGCGCCGGCCGCTGCAGGTCGGTGAGCGCCGCGCGCGTCCGGCTCTACGCGGTGACTCAGCCGCGGCCGGCGGAGCGAGCAGCCGGGCCAGAAGACGCGGCCGGCCGCTGCCTGCGCTACCGCTGTATCACCCGGGTCTCCCGCGATTGGACCCCGCGGCCGGCTCCCTGCGGGGATTGGCCCTTGAGAACGTCAGTCTCGTGTCCCCGCCCCCGGAGGCCCGCGGCAGTGCCCAGCTGCCGGCTGCTGGGAGGAGGCCCTGGGCGCGGGCTCGCCCGCCGCATCTCCAGTGGGGAAGCACTTCTGGGTTGGAATGTAACGTTTCGTAGAAACAAAAGTAGCGTGTGTGTGCTGCAGCACCCCCACCCCCGTAGCATCTCGGTCTGCCTGTGCGTGTGTGTGTGTGTGTGTGCGTGTGTTGGGAGGTGTGTAGTGGGCGCCCGTAAAAGGCACAGGAAAGAGTGCTTTTGGCAAAGAGTCCTGGATTGGAAGGTCGCTGGCTCTTACTAGTGTTGGCTTGGACCAATTTTGAAAGCTGCACGGACCTCCATTTCTTTACCTGCCAAGCAGATGGGGTTCTTGTAATTAAATCCTTATCATGCATCCACAGCACAGCTCGCGGTCAGTGACCTTCCGGAGGACGGTCAGCGCCCTCACGCACAAGGCAGGGGCACACTTCTAGAATTGGGGTGTTCTTGCATCAAGGAGGATGCACACACAGGGAACCATGGGCCATTTAAGCGGAAAAGAGCCAGAAGTTATTATGGACACGTCTTCAGTGACTTGGGGAAGAGTTCGAGAAAGTAAGGTTTTACTCAGAAGTGGTTGCTGTCAGGAAGTAGCGGCAGTTCTGTGGCTCAGTGTCCTAGCAAATCTTATCTAGAAGGAGTCTGTGATAAAGAGCAGCAGTCAGTAAACCTAGTCATTTTGTGTTCAGATTTTGTCTGTTTAGATAAGGTTATAGAGTGATCTTGTTTTTGTCCCCAACATGGTCCAGAAGGACCTTGTCAGAACAATGGTGAGTGGATGGTCTGTGAAACATTCTTTGAAGAGCAGAAGATATTTATTAGAAAAAGAAAGCTTCTGTCTGAGAGAGACAGAAGGGGTCCCGAGTGGGTTGCTGAGGGTCCTGCCTTTTTTAAAAAGGGTTTTTATACAGAAACCACAAGGTGAGGCAGATCCAAGGTGGGGAAAAATGGGAAATCGCAAGGTGGGCATGAGGTGGAACAAAAACTATGGCCAACCCATAGATTACGAGCATAATTGTTCAGGTAATATTGATCAAATGGGGATCAAATGGGGAAGCAAGTCAGGAAGGAAACAGGCATGAAACAGAACAGGGGCTCTTCCCGGCTTTCTGAAGGTGATTAATACAGATTTAGAATATCAATCCCTGTTGTTTATCCTTAGGGGAAGTATGTGGGTACATTAGTTTCACCTTTTGTATTGAAGTCTGTCCCCAGTGGATGTGTCTGTCTCCCCAACAGTTCCAATGTATCCCATCTTCTGCACTGGCTCCCGCAAGGGCCTGGCCCTGCCTGCCTGCCTATAATATTTCTATCTAACTTAGCTGTCTGAAACATTCCCCCTCCGAAGAAGTACCCCAAAATGCCATGAGGGAGCAATGGGTGATGACCGATCTGTTTTCTTCGAGCTGAAGGGAGTTGTAGTTGTGATCAGCAGCCACAGATAACCTTCAGAAGATCTATCTAAAGGCCCTTGATAGATGCCAGGCATTCCCGTCTGGGGCGGGCACATAGCTTTAGGTTTCCATCTCTATAGAAGACCTCCAAGTGATATAGGGGAAAGAAACTTCCAACCTGCTAGATGACTGGTACGAGTTTGTGTTCTCTAAAACTGAAGAATGAATTTTAGGAACAACAGAGGTGAAGAGCAGAAGGAAAGCTTATTAGGGAAGGAAAGCTTCTGTCTGAGAGAGAAGCAGAGGGGGTTCGAGTGGGTTACCCTGTGAAATTGTTGTTAGGCAACGGAACACCATGGTCTGGAAAAATTCACAACAACTTGTAGATCCAACTGATAGTTCCCCTGAAGCCACTCTTTCTTCCTGTGTATTCAATACATGATAAATAAGTCACCAAATGTAGTCAAAAGACTTTGATTTGAATCCTAACTGCTTGTTGGTAGCTCATAGCCTTGGACTTTACCTCTTCTCAGATTCATCAAATAAGCATTTTTGAAGCACGTACTATGTGTTTCAAACAGTGGAACATGGATGTTGAAAATAGGGAATGCAAAAATGAATATGATCCTGTTTCCTAGGAAGACAAATTTTAAGTTGGGGTATACTGTGCTAAATGGTAGGTTAGGGACCTCCATTCCAAGCAGGCAAGTCACTGAGAACAGCTGACTAACCAGAAAGAGTCGGTCTTTACAGGAGAGAGAAAGAGATTTGACAACCATACAAAAACAAGGGAAAACATAGAAATTAACCTGGGCAATAACCTTTGACAGTTGTAAGGCACTGTATAATCTTAATTGTCATTACCAAAATGACACCTATTTTGTGTTAACTGAATCTCTATTTTGGCCCACTTAGTACCTTTTGCTACCTGTCTTTACCGTGAGGAGTAAAATGATTACTTCAGTGACTTGACTCATGTAAAATCAGGAAGGGCAATTTCATGGCCCAAATGTTACTGTCTTGGAACAGCAAGGGTTTTTCTCTCTCAAGCTGCGTTTCCATCTTGAGAAAAGTCCCTTCTACCATTTTCACTCATGGACACAGATCGAGGAAGTCAGCTCTGTATTATTGTTGGTATCAGGGCAGAGCAAAGGGAGTAGGATGGATCTGCTACCAGTTCTTAGAGATTTATCCCGGAAATGATATAGGCCACTTCTGCTCACATTTCATTAGGCAGAGCAAGTCACAAGACGACCCAGTGAAGGGCAATCCTATCCTGTGCTAAAAAGGAGAAGGTAATGATCTGTAGCTCTAATATCTTCAGTGTCCCCAAGCTATAATTTCTTCTGAAGATAAATTAGAAAGAAAAATGCATCTGGAAGTCATCCTTTCTCTGGGGTCAGAAAGAGTTAGTACCCACTAGAGTTCCATACTGTTCCATCTCTACTTTTCTACATGGAGAAGAGAACCATTGTGCTACTAATCTCTCTGGTGACAATTTTTATATAGGCATTTTGCTTTCATATGTGTAATTTTTTCGTGGGGGGCTCTTTTTGAGACAGGGTCTCCCTATGCAGTTCAGGCTGGCATTGAACTCACTTTATAGCCTAGGCTGTTCTTGAACTCGCAATGATTCTCCTGCCTCAGCCTCCCAAGTGCTGGGATTACAGGCATGTGCTACCACACCTGATATCGCATATGTGTAAATTAAAGAAGTCTTTATTGACTGGTTAATTGGAATTTGTCACTCTATTGGACACTTGGGCAAAACAAAAGAAATCAGGATACCATAATCATCAAAGTTGTTTACTTTGATTTGATAAGAAAAGATATAAATATGTATATGGAGGGAGTGCAAATGATTCTTAAACTAAGTATGTGGACATAATCAGATAACTGTCCCCACCTCATCCACCAACTATTGCTGTTCTTCACAGACTCAGGCTTTCTTCCTTCAAAGACTCAGAGAAGAAATTGAAAATCAGGGCTAGATGTAAAAGAAGAGAGGACTATTCACCATGAACAATTTTTCTGGCAGTTTCTCTGAAACATGAATTAACAGGTATAATCTTAATGGCAGGAGCCTCTAGGAAGATTTCAATATTTTATACTTAAGTTCAGTGATCAGGACATTTTAATGTAAGCACATTACAAATTGTCATGTAATCAATACTGACATTTGATTTCAGAGTCGGTATTTGTGTTTCTGCTTTTTGTTTACATTGGCCCCAAGGAGGAGTCCTGTAGTATGTCAGACTAAGGAAAAAAGAAGTGAAATAAATGAATGAATGAATGAATGAATGAATGAATGAGTGATATGCACATGCTAAGTAAAGACAAAACAATGTTATGTCATGTTCAAGAGAAGTTTTCATAGTATTCTAATAACCATGGGGGTAGAGTTGTCCTCCCTGATACAGGAATAGACAGACACACAAGGAGTGATGAAAAGTGAATGCTTAAATAAAAAATTTATTACAATAAGAGACACATTGTCATTAATCTTCCTCAAAATGTGTGGCACTCAAAGTGAAGGTGAATCTCCCTTCATTTTGAACATACTTATCCCATTATTTTGCCACTTTCCGGAGCAGTTCTGGAAGTCCTCTTTCATGAATGTCATTACAAGATGTGCTCAAAAATACAGCGAATGCTGTGGCCAAGTGTCTCCAATGGAAACACAGGTTCATAAAAGCATTATAGTGTCCTCACCAACCTTATTCACCAGATCAGTCACCATATGATTCCTGGCTCTTCTACCAAATCAAAATTACCCTGAAAAGTAAACTTCTAGAATCTGTTCATGACATTGAAGCATCTACCATAATGCATTATAAAGTCCACAGTAGTGGACTTCTAGAATTGCTTCAGAAAGTGACAAGAATGATGATTCAAGTATACTCAAAGTACAGGGAAGTATTTTGAGGGGGGATTAATGGCAATGTGTCTTTTACTGTAATGTGTTTTTAAAATTTAAACATTCACCATACATTTCAGTCACATGTGTACTGAACTCAGAAGACCCCATCCTGTGGTGGGCAGTGCCATATTCAAGAGGAGAAATCCAAAATGGAATATAACAGCTGTGAAATTTTGCTGGTTTCAAGAAGAATATGGCCTTTTCATTTCTGATAAAATAAGCCAAAATGTGGTGAAAAACTTCAGTTACAGCAATTACTGCTCAGTAGGTAGCTGTCAATACAGTGCTGATAAGAGTCTACCACATTTTACCTCCCAGCACAGATTGTTGAAAGGAGATGTACTTCAGTTCTATGATATTAGTCAATAATTTGCCAAGAGAGACTTGAGGTCTAATTTAGGTAAGAAATTAGTAACCTTGTCTTTCTTATCCCATTTACATTGGGCACTTGGGGACTATTTTTTCTTTCCCTCTAGATTCCATGACTGGATCCCATCTTTTTGCTACCCTGGTGAAGGAGGGCTTCTCCTTGGTTTTCTCCGTG